TTTTCTAAGAGCACTTGTTATTGAACTGAAATAATATCCTGTGGAATTTCACACTCTTAGATGAACATGCCAGGGATGTGGGTGGCTCAGGCTTCCATGTTAACTAGACTTAGAGCAAACATAAAGAGGTTTGCTACCCCCCCACCCCCGGCAAGCAGTTCTCTCAGTGAGAAAAGGGTCACTTCGGCAAATAGACCCCCATCCTTGTTCTAAGGAGCACCCTCTTTGTACATATAAAAATGCACAAGAAAACTCTTAAGAAGCTTGCTATTTTTCCCCACCCTCAAAATTACTCTACTCCTTGATATGTGCACCATAGCCCAGACATTATTCCTGTGACCTTTAAAATAGCAAGATGTTATCAGTATTGAAGGCAGCTTAATTAATATGGGAAGCTCCACTACCTCAGACTCACTTGTTTTGCCTCCAGTGTCTGGGTCCTGTTTACAATCTCTGGGTGGTCAGTCCTGACCCAGGAAGATTTCCATTATTCCTTGAGCAAATGGTGATAAGAAAACATGAGGACATTGAGACTCAAGCCGTCACACATGCAGCAAGTGTTTCTTTGCCTTCATATTCCAGTGTTCTTGAAACTGGTCGTCAGCACTTGAGCCATGCCCAGATGATGGTCACAGAATTCCTGGCCAAGTTCCTCAAAGTGTGGTCAGCTAACCCCTCTCCATCCCTGGGGCTTACTGAATGCAGACTGCCTGGCCCACGTCAGGCGTAGAGAATAAGAACTTCTGTGATCAGCCTGGGACTGTGTTTTATCAAGCTCCCCCGTGAAACTTTGAGAATCATACTAAGGAAGCAGCCCTGCTGATCCACAAATTGCTCCAGAAAGGATTGTTTTTAAAATAAAAGGTGGAATTTATTAAAGGCCCTTAGAAGAGAAAAGCAGGGAAGACTGAGAAGACCAAGAGGCAAGGAGAGAAAAGAAAGGAAGGAAGAGGGAAAGAGGTAGAAGTGAAGAGAGAGCTATGTCTGGTCTCATCCTTTGGGGCACCAACGCTGGAAGTTCTGGAAGATTCCCTCCTCTCCTCTATTCCGGTCCAACCCAGTCTGCAGGGTTACTTATGGAGAGTACGCCTTTGGGAAATTTCCTCTAAAATATAGCTGCTGGTGGTGGCACGTAGAGTCTGACTGCCCAACTGCCTCAGTTGGTCTGACAGAGGTGACATCTTGAGAATCCACACCATGGCTAAAATGCCAGTATTCTTTCCCAGGTTCGAAACTTCTAGGACCGAAAAGGCAGGACCTAACGGATCCAGTGGTTGACTGAACCTTCTATCTACCCTTAAACAAGCACAGGAATACAGCCGACAAGGATCCATAGCACATCCAATTCAGAATCACCGTTTTACTTGCCATATAAATATAATTTCTTGTCTTCTTTCTTCCTCCCTCCCCCGACCCAGTCACACCATGGGCGTAAGCACGTCCTCTCCCCTCGTATATTTCTATTTGCACATACGGTGCGGGGTGACAGCATACTGATAGCAGTTTCATATTACAAACGCACAGAATGAGAAAATACTGTAGCTGGCAGCAGGCCCCCACCGTGCAGCCTTGTTACACAGTCCGACCATTTACTTTCATCCGCACTTACCTGAGTGGTGGTCTTTGTTGATCTTCTTTGCAGTTGCTTATGGCCAAGCAGCCCCGAACCATGCCATTTAGGCAGAATTTTAGTTTATTGCATTGAGAACAAACAAAACAGCGGCTCTTATCTGCTTACCTAGCCTTAGGAGGCTTTGAGATGTGCTCAGAGCCAAGGGGAACTGGAACCATTGGTTTAACAAAAACAACTGAGGATCACCAATGGGTCCAAATTCCATTTAATTGAGGACATTTGCGTCTGATTTGTGCTGACCTAGAATAACACGGATCTGTGGGTTTTGATCGCTCTCTCCCAAGTGATGCCAGAAAAACAAAACAAAACGAAACAAAACAAAACAAAGACAAACGGCTGCCTTGGTGAATCACAAATCTCAATGACACTCAGCACACCTGGGCTATTATTAAAGATTAGCTCATAAACACAGCAATAGCCACTAGCCACAATTTCTAAGTGATTCTCTTGTAAAGAGAATTTATCTTTCCCTTTTTGTTGTTTTTTGCTTTGCTTCCTTAATCCACACACACACAAAATTAGTTATTATGAACAATCAAGAAAGAAATGGAAATTCAGGGTTATTACTCTATAAAACTACCTTTGCATTTTGAATCATTACTAATGTGTCCTGTTTTGCAAAGCTGGCATAAGTACCCAGATAAATGCTTCTTATTTATAAAACACTGTCAGTTAATCTCGAAATGTCCGTCAAACTTTCAGGCATGTTACTTTTAGTCAGCTGGCTTAGAAACATGCAGCTTCACCCCAACACTTCGTCAGGCAACAAAAGCTAGAGGTGGGACAGAAACATCCAGAAAAGTCCTCCTGAGGAAATCACAGATGCTGGCACACTGTTGATTAACATCTGGATCACCTTAAGGGTGTTTGTGAACCAGCAGGAAATAAATTTCTGGAGAAGACCATGGACTTGAGGATGGTTGTTTTAGTATTTAATAATAAATGGTTTCTAGTTGATAGGAAAACATTGAAATGTGACTTATGTATACGCAGCTGATTCAAATTTGATAAACATGTCCCCAGAGGAAATTATTGGGTTTATTAAAAGCCTAGGGAGGCTGAACAGAATTGCAATAGTCTTATTCAATAGTCCTTGCTGAGGTGGAGTAACCGCTCCCCAGTCCACCTTGCAGCCAACCAAGGAGGAAGGTCAATAATAAGGAAAGAGCAGGGCTGTCCTTGGTCTGAGTTATAAGTGGGTATGAACTGCCGAGATACCTCGTGCAAGTAAGTGTCGCTGCCTTGCTGGTAAAATGTGATGTGTTGATGACTGTTATATTACATCTAAAATCCCATTTACTAGTAATAGAAAAGTTCAGTTAAGAGTTTTGCCTTATGTCTCCTGGTGCTTGATAGAGCATTGTGTGATATTGCCAATTTTCGCTTCAGGCGTATTCACATGCAACAGTGAAGACTTCACAAGAATTTGCACATTTGATCCAGGGTGAAATTATGCCATTTTCATAGCAAATCAACTTTTCTTTGGCAGCAAAATGATAGGTACTTTTGCACCTAGAGAAATGCCTTTGTTTTCAAGGAATTTTGAAAAAATAAAAAAATAAAAAGTTCTTTGTCTATGGGGATTGTGATCCAGTCATTCTAAGCAGAGGCCCAGCAGGTAAGAATCCTGTTGTCCTGCTTTCTGACCTGAAGCACGTTCCTTAACCTTTCTTATTTTGCCTTTCTTGTTAAAAAAAAAAAAAAAGAAAAGGAAAAATGGGGGTCACATGAAATCTTTCTCTCCTATGTGTCACAAGGCTGTTCTGGGATGCCTTCACATCTCTAACGTTGTACAACAGTGTCTGCAAAAGGGCAAATTGCTGTGGATGTAACATGTGAAATTTCACCTCTATGTGCTCTCCTTTTAGTGGTGTTGGAAGCAGCAGGAATTTATTCATGCAGCCCTACTGATTTGCAGACTGGGAGTAAATACTAGGCCTTTTGCAGCGATTACCAAGAGCCCCCCTTCAGTAGACATGATCTACTGCATCACATTAAAGTGGTGGATTGAGGAGTGAGCCAGCTGAGCTATTCTGTACACACCTAGCCAGGTTGCAATTTATATTCAGGCAGAGCTGTGAGTGGCTTTCAGAGGAAGAAAGAGAAGAACAGTTCTCTCGAAATTTTCGACCAGGATGGGAAACCAAACTCTGCTTTGTCACTGCTATTTAAAACAACAACAACAAAAGATTCTTTCTTCATTGCAGGAAGAAATTAACAGATTAAGTTTTTCTCTTCTCTTCCTGTAGTGTTGCTTTCTAAGATTGCTAAGGATTTCCTTTGATTCCTTACGTGACTTTTCTTTTTAACAGTGCATAGATCCTTTCTCTAAGTTCTGTTTTGAGGACCCAGTCTATGACTCTTGCTTACTGAGCTTAAGTCTGGAATTACCCAGCTTCACTTGCGTGAACAACATGTTCTGTAGCTGTACCCCATAAAGAGTTCTGCATTGCTGCTACAGGCCAAACTGAAGGGAAATTGGAGAAGGAAAGATTGATTCATGTGGTATTCAGTGGTCACCAGCCATCTCATTTTTATTCAGTAAATATAGGATTTTAACATGAAAGTTTGGAAAATATGGTGGCTGAACCAGAAAAATGTCAGTTTGGGTCAAATTTAGTATTAGGTGGTCAAACAGTCTATTTTATTATCAAATTACATATATATATATATGTACACACACACACACACACACACACACACACACACTACTTGACCCCACTAAATTACATATATAAATACATACAGTGTATTTATAATAAACAAATATAAATTACGTGTGTGTATATGGGTATGTGGGGTGTGTGTGTGTATATATATATAAATATAAAATATTACTTGACTGCACTAAATTATTTTTCAATAATAATAATAGTTTCCTGATTTTTTCTGGAAGAAAATACATCTGAGATAGTTATTTTACTGACATTATTTTGTCTAGTTTTGTTGCCTTTCCAAGAACATATTTGAGGCATCAAATGCCATTCTATGTAAAAATGTGGAGGGTAATAACTTTTTTAAAAGAACCATGAGAGACTATGGACTCTGAGAAACGAACTGAGGGCTCTAGAGGGGCGGGGGTGGGAGGATGGGTTAGCCTGGTGATGGGTATTAAGGAGGGCACGTATTGAATGGAGCGCTGGGCGTTATACGCAAACAATGAATCATGGAACACTACATCAAAAACTAATGATGTAATGTATGGTGATTAACATAACATAATAAAATAAAATTAAAAAAATTTAAAAAAGATACTATACAAAATTAAAAAGGATGAATAATTGTCATCTGATTGCAAGCATGTGAGTGTACACACATAGATTACCCCAGCAAAATACGGCACAAAATGCGATGGTTCTCATAGAAATTAACTGTGTAGATGTACCGGAAATTGCAGCTTGTCAGGTTGTGACGCCACGATGTTTGTGGCTTCGGGGCCCTGCTGCCTTCGGATTCTGGCATAATCTGCTCTGACCTCCATCAGTTGCTTTAACTCTGTTAAAAAGATTATTTTGAGAGACATGTCAATGTATTTATAGAAAGTAATTAAAAGTCCAAGACGATGAAAGCTCGAAGATCCCTCAGAAACCCTTGACTCCCACGCTGGACTCTCATTACACACTTGACTTGCTTATCACATCAGATACGTGTTAACATTCTTTGGATTTCTACAGAATGGCAGTTCTGGAGAGGGCTTCCTTCCAGGCTTGGTACAAAGCCTGAATTGGAGGCTAACCTGGGAGTGGTCTAGAAACTGAACCCAGTGAAAAGAGGGGAAACACAGCAGTGAGAACAGTGTTCCAATTCGATGACAAATGGCATAAAGCACTCTTAATTTTGTTGGGGGTTTGTGTGAAAGAAACCATTCTAACAGCATCTGATTTGTTTTGACAAATCAGTGTGATTCTTTGATGACTAAACTTTCACACGCTAAATGTTTGTATACTAGAGTGCATAAAATAAGTTATTATAGCGTGGTTAGTTTTGAAACTCCCAGGCTGCCTTATTTTCTACCACATAGTTAAGCCAGTAGGTCACAGCAAAACTTCGAGTGGAATGATTACTTAAGTGTCCCTTCATAAATAAATAAATCTGTGTGTGTGTGTGTGTGTGGGCCTGTAGCATTTCTCTCTTCTTTTTTAAAACATTCTGAATATTTAGATTTCTACTTAATGATTATTTCTAACTTAATTATTTCAAGAAAAACAATAAATGTCAACTCATATAGTAAAATAAATTTCTGAAGAACAACTTAGTTAAATTCTTCTATCCGTCAGATTTCCTAGAATACATATCACCCATGGAAAAGAACTTAGACAATTGGGGAAAACCACTAACCTTGTCACCAGGAAGGTAACATGGGAACCTACTTCCAGAGGAAAAGAATCAACTTTCACATCATAGCAATCCATGTGGTCACAGAACTGAAGATGTAAAAATAAATATTTGTCTACACAGCCTTGTCCTTTGACCACAAAGCTAACATGGAGGAAAATGGTAGGGAAAGTAACATTTGCATTTCTTATTTTCTCTCTCTCCTTCATTTTTTCTTGGTAACAAGCTTGCTTCTGGCAAGGGAGCCTACATTTCTCTCTGTGTTTTGGATATCCTTTTGGCCAGTTGCCTGAAGCATACTTAGCTTTATCTATCAGAAAGGCCCAATGAACACAATGAGGCCAGGAAGGTAGGGGCCAGGCAACAGAAGACCATCCCAAGAGTATAAAAGATTAAGCATAAACAATGAAGAAACTGGAAAAGTACCTCCTACTGCACCACTTGTTCGCTTACTATTCAATTGTACTATAATATTTCAAGTGTATTCATATACCTAATTAGATTGAAAACTCGTTTGGGGAAGGAAGCTTGGCTTATATTTCTTTTATAGGGCTACGTAGTTTGGCAACACAGAAAACTGTCAACTAATACTCACTAATGATAAGAATGCTATCATTGGTGTGTTCTTCTAAGTACCCACATAATGAGGGTCACCGAGAGCTGGGGTGGGGGGTAATGGTGAATGATGGGGACAACAGCCTCCAGAGAATACAAAGATTAGAGTCTCTTCCTTGATGTAGGATGGCACTGGAGGCATATTTGTGGCATCCCTCACAGCAGTGCTAGGCATCCCAATAAATCTTTGTCTTCCTACATTTCAGTCTTTATTCCTATGCTTTTGTCCTGGGCTAAATGTAAAGATATGATTGCAGCTGTTTTAAAAGGTTCTGGTTTCTGTACCTTACATATAACATAGTAATAACAATTTTATGGTGACTTTTAAAAAGAAATAATATAGACGAACCATGAGAGACGATGGACTCTGAAAAACAAACTGAGGGTTCTAGAGGGGAGGGGCGTGGGGGGATGGGTTAGCCTGGTGATGGGTATTAAAGAGGGCACGTTCTGCGTGGAGCACTGGGTGTCATGCACAAACAATGAATCATGGAACACTACATCAAGAACTAATGATGTAATGTATGGCGATTAACATAACAATAAAAAAATTTAAAAAAAGGAAATAATATAGTATTAGCTCTTTTAGGGATCCCAGGTGACTCACTCCCTTAATCTTTTGATTTCCTTTAAAGTGGTATCATGTTCTTCAGAATTCCTGAAAATCATACCTACCCCCAGAAAGGGGCTTTAAATTCCTCAGGCAAACAGGATAAAGGACAAGAATTGGTTTAATAACAAATATATGTTCTTTTCCATTTCTATCACTTCTAAAAGAAAATTAGCAAAGAATAGATAACATAATAAAATGAGCATATACATTCTTATTATTAAAAAAAGAAATCTGCAGGGGCACCCGGGTGGCTCGGTCTGTTAAGTGTCTGACTTTGGCTCAGGTCATGATTTCAGAGTCCTGGGATCAAGCCCCCCTTCAGGCTCCCCGCTCAGCTTGGACTCTGCTTGTCCCTCTCCCTCTGCCCCTCCTCCCCCTGCCCATGCTCTCTCTCTCTCTTTCAAATAAATAAATAAATAAAAATATTTTTTAAAAAATCTGCAAACTGGATAGTTGCTATTAATAAACCATTAAGTTTTAAATAACTTGAAAATAGGAAGTCAACAGAGCCTTCTTTCCTCAGGGTTCATGTTAAGGGAATACCTTCAAATGAGGCCATTTAGAATTCCTGCAAATAAGCCCCTTGGATAAGGCTCAAGACTAACAGAACTTGGAATTCTTGAGTGTAAACAATGTCAATAGTGAGTTTCCAGCACAGAAGTATATAAATTTAACTTTAGTAACATGGAGTAGAAAAGTGTGGAAGAAGATAATTATTAAAAAACATCATGTTGGGAAATAAAATTTAGAAAGCAAGCTCCGAGAAACAAACTGAGGGTTCTAGAGGGGAGGGGGGTGGGAGGATGGGTTAATCCGATGATGGGTATCAAGGAGGGCACGTACTGCATGGAGCACTGGGTGATATACAAAAACAATGAATCATGGAGCACTACATCAAAAACTAATGATGTACTGTATGCTGACTAACATAACATAGTAAAATAAAATTAAATTTAAAAAAAATTAAAAACAAGAGACTGAATGTTTTAATTCTTCAAAAACTTGATGGAAAAGAGACTGTCCCCCATACCTTTTTGGGTTATAAAGCCATGTCCTGTGGACACACAGATGACCATGTCTCGTTCTATGTCGTCCCACGAGTGAATTGGTTCTCCACTGGGGGTGTACAGTGTTCTGGCTGGGCGGGCCAATTTAAGACGTGAGGAGCAGTCATCCAGCAGCTGAAACACAAAGGGACTGATGTACTGGAATGTGAAATGTCACAACAATAATGAAGTCTTAAAGGATCAACTCCTTCAAGAGAACTATTATCCCAGGTTGAATATTTATTTTACTTGTGATTTTTAGAAAGAGGTATAGAAGGAGTGGGAAGAAGAGCATATAAAAGTTCCCCAAATTGCTTCAACATGAAGAACTTTAGTGCTCTTAGTGGATTTTTCCTTGTAGTTATATTTCCATGTGGAAGAAGGCTTCTTGCTGTTTAAAAAAAAAAAAAAAAATGCCTAAATACGAAAGACCCTGGCTTGAGAATCTAGACTTGTCAGAATAGCAGAAAATAATTTTTTTTCAACAAGCAAGGAACCCGAAGGACAAAAGCACTGACCCAGATGTGGGGAGACCCGGGCCTCCGGCCTCTGTCCGACTTCAAACTAGTCAGGCAACTTCTCTACGAGAAGAGTCTCTTCAACTATAAAATCAAAGTTTTGATCTAAGACCTCTTTGATTCTCTGATTAGAAAGTCTTTTATTTTCCCCCTTTTAACTTGGAAAATTTAAAAACTATCTGTAAGAGCCTTATTCAGTTTCTCTCAATTTTCCTTGAAATATTCATAAAATACATATACAGATACAAAGTGTCAATGGTACTAGAAAGATTAGTCAACATGTTGCCAAACCCCTAAGGGCAGTTCCACCAACGTGTGAATAAGGCTTTAAGACAGAATAATAAATGCAAGGAGGAGGAAAAGTAGAGGTTTCTACACACTTGCCTGTATGACTTTTTCCTCCCATATATGCCAAACGCCTGTTCCTCCAAAATACAGGAGCCAGGTCCATGCAAGCCCCAAAGATAGATCTATTTGAGGGCCACAATTCACGACAATGTGGCCTGGCAGGGGGCAGAACTGGGCGCATAATGACACCTTGCATATGGAAAATGAATCAATAATATGAACAAGACAAGACAGTGATGAGACGATGCAATCAGAGAGTGCAGATTTCACCCACTACTTTGGGCAAGGGATGAGTGAATTTAATTGAATAAGGATTGAAATTACCCAAGAATACATTCCCTTCTGTAGATCGTCAGAGAAGAGCAGTGGGAGAGTGGTCTCAAACGCAGCCCCAGCCGTCCTGCTAGGTAACAGCCGGTCAGCAGCAGTCTGACTCCGTATTGTGCCTGTGAACCAGCCCGGGGACTTCAGATCCAGTAGAGGATCCTGACAGCTCCCAAGTCAAAATTTAGGGCAACCAAAGAGAACTAATCTATGCTGTCTTCTGTCAAAAGATCTCTCCTTGTATAAGGGGGTATAGATAAAAAATTAACAACAGCGACAATATGAGGCTTGTGAAAGTATTCTACAATGTAAAAAGTTGTATGTTTTACACTATACTCAAGGTGAAGAGTTAGAAAAAGATTTACAGCAGGAATACGTTTTAGAGAATAGCTGTATTGGGTTTTCCCAAAATTCAATAAAATATGACTTCTGTAAACACACACATACACACACAGACACAGAAATTAGAGATGACAGCAGTTTAAAGGAAAGAAGTATCACTGAGGTATGGGCAAACATGATGACGATGACAGTGATGATGATGATGATGATGGCAACAATAACAGCAGTTAACATTAACTGACACATTTCTATGGGATAGAAACTTTTCTAGAAGTTTCCAAGGACAATCTGATTTCATTCCCTGGAGAGAATTATTATCTTCATTATATTGATGACAAAATTGGAGACCAGAGATTAAATATCTTAACCCAGGTCACACAGCTAGTAAGAGAAGGAACAGGGTTTCAAACTGGGATGAACAGAGAGCTAAATGAAAAGAGGAGAGAAGGTAAGGAAATAAAAGACTCGATAGTAGAATTAAAATCTGTCTTGAAGGCAGAAAAAGAGCAGACTGAATATTGTAGAAAATTAAATCAGTATTAGGAAGGACTAGGTTGAGAAAATCTCATAGGATATAGAGAAAGCAGAAGACATAAATTTTATGAGAGAAAATTTAAACATCTGGAATGTCAAGACATCAGATATTAAACCTATACATTATTGGTGTTACTGGAGAGGAATTCAGAATAAATTAAACTTAAGCAACTATCAAGAAAGAAAAAAATTGAAGGAAACTTTCCTGTCCCAAACAAAGACCCATGTCTTCAGACCAAATAGGCTAACTCAGGACAAGGCAAAGTTAATGAAGAAAACGACTAACACTTAAATATAATTGAGTTGAAAAGTATGAATTTCAGACATGGTGGAAAATTCAGTTTTATTTAGACCTGTTTTCTGCAAAAATGAATGCCAAAGAAAATGGAATAAAATATGAAGTTTTTAGGAGAAAATGTTTTAACATAAGAATTCTGTATCCAGCTGAATTATTACTTTTGGTTACAGGGAATAAAAGATATCCTCATGTATACAAAAGCTCAGAAAACATATCACCCACATACATTTCAGATTATTAAGGAATGAATGAAATTCCTTCACTATGGGAAAGTCATAATATGAAATGACTAATTGTAAGCAGTGAGACCACCAGAACATGATATAACTGCTACAAAAAAATGGTCAGAAAATAAATGAATTAAAAATTTTAAAGTCTTCATAGAGAAAAAAATAAAGTAAAAATGCAAAGCATGATCAGAAAGGGACATGGGCAAGGAAAAGAAAGCCAAAGCATTCCAACTTTCTAGTTATTCATGAGGTCAAAAGATGCTGTTTTTTGTTTTCCTTTGTTAAGAACATTTATTTTTACGATTATAACCAATGCAATAAAACCTAAAGTCAGAATAAGAGAAATAGTTCATCGAAAAGAATAAACAAAATCATCATGTGAACTTAATATGATTTTATTCTTAGAAAATTTATGTGAATCACATAAAATATTAATAACAGGAGAAAAATGTTTAATAAAGTGTCCAAGCACAAAATAAATTATAAAAAATTGATGGCTTTTTTTGTTCACAAAAATAGGCATTTAGAAAATAGAATGGGGGGAAAATCCATCCCAATGGATTTTGGTTTAGCAAAACCAATTAGGAATGACAATTACTTTAAAATGTGAGATGTGGGGCTCCTGGGTGGCTCAGCTGGTTAAGGGTCTGACTCTTGATTTTCACTCAAGTCATGATCTCAGGGTCATGAGGTCAAGCCCCACATGGAGCTCCCCACTCAGCGCAGAGTCTGCTTGAGATTCCCTCTCTCCCTCTCCTTCTGCCTCTGCCCTGCCCACCTCCCATGCACTCTCTTTCTAAAATAAGTAAATAAATCTTTTTAAAAAATTATAAAATTTTACTGAAGGACAAAAAAAAGGTATATATATGTATACACACACACACACACACACACACACACACACACATAAAAACGATGCCACAGAATTCAATCTGGCTGTGAAGATCGAATATCAGAAAAGGTGTTGATTTTTATGAAATTAATTAATAGCCTAATACAATTACAGTCAAAACCCCTGCAGGATGATTTTCAGGTGTTGAAATGTAATTCCAAAATTCATCTATAAGCATCAACATGCAAGGATATTCAAGTAAAATTTGAAAACAAAGTACAATAGGCAATTTCTATCAGATATTAAAATATAATATGAAGCTATAATAATTCAAGAAGTATTAGATACATTAGATTATTTAAGAACAGAAGCTAATTGAAAATTCAGTATGTTATAATGTTTGTATTCCAACTCAGCTGGGATTAGTCAGTAAGTAGGGCTGAGATAATAATTTTAAGCCAACAAGTAAAGCAGAGAAGTAGCTTCACTCAAATTTTACACTAGAAGAGAGTTTCACACAGTTTAAAAAGTAAAAGAGAAAAACAAAATTACAAAAAATTTGAAGAAAATCTGATGAATCTTTTTATGATCTCAGGATAGTAAAAGACTATCAGAACATTTAAGAGCAAAGAACAAACTTTTAAAATATATTAATTTCTGTACATTAAAAAAAACCATAGACACAATGGCAAATTGGAAATTTGTTACAATAAATCTGATAGAGTTACATATAATAGGGCTGATTGCCTCCTAAAAGCCATATCTCTAAATACAATCACACTGGGGGTTAGGGCTTCAGCATAAAAATTTGGCGATGGAGGGCACAGTTCAGTCCATAGCAGTTAGTTTGCTTTTCTGCTTTAAGACAACCAACAAGTTATCAACTGGGTTTCTGTCTGGGGTGGGAGCAATGGGGAACTGTCCTAAAACATGTGTGAATAGGTCTCCAGGAAAAACTCTTGCAGTTTGAAAAGATCCTACATAAAGGTAATTCTTACATTTTTTCCCGACTTTACCACTAAAATGTCACTATTTTATTTATGAAGATGTGTATGCTGTTTATAATTAGAAAAATGAATGTTATTTAATAAAAAATATATACTAAATGCAAAATATGAATTAAACATATAGCTATTTCACTTGGTTTTCACAAAGATCTATTTACACGAGACAAGGTGAAATGAGTTCATAAAATTCTTTTAAAAATAAATGTGAAGGGGTGCCTGAGTGGCTCATTCGTTAAGCGTCTGCCTTCGGCTCAGGTCATGATCCCAGGGTCCTGGGATCGAGCCCCGCATTCGGCTCTCTGCTCAGCGGGGAGCCTGCTTCTCCCTCTCCCACTCCCCCTGCTTGTGTTCCCTCTCTCGCTGTGTCTCTCTCTGTCAAATAAATAAATAAAACCTTAAAAAAAATAAAAAATAAAATAAATGTGAAATAAGGCATTTTCAGTACAAACAGGCTCTAAAATATCTAGTCAGCTCATGACCTTCAGTGACATTCTTAATTCCTAGTTTTTCACGTGTCTAAACTTACTCAGGTATCTTCTTTACAATGTCATCTAAATCATATGTTTATAATTTCTGCACTAACAAAAGCTCATAATAAAGGAACAACATTCTGTCCAGAGTTCCTCACCCACAATCTATTTTGGGAGTTTAGCCTTCAGAGACTAGTCTCAGGATGGGGGACGCGGGCACCATAGAACTATTGCAGACTCCCTGCCGGCGTGAAGTACTCGCCAAGACAAATCAGAAGGACCCATTTCCCATGCTTTCGGCTTCTGCTTATGCATGGGGAACTGTGTGTAGCAGAGAGAACACACTGGTTTTGAGATGCTGTAGAATCAAAGAGATGTTGCAGGGATGGGAGAAGACAGACGCTTCAGGACCATAGAAGGAGAGGCTGGGCAACCATAAATCAGAGAAAGATGCCAGCCCTGAGGAAAGAGCCACTAACCCTGCAGAGGGAGCCGCCTTAGTGCACTGATGACAGATGAGCCTGCGCCGGTTGGAGATGAGAGGTGCTCCAGCAATGTTCAAAGAGTGGGTAGGAAGAATGTGGTTAAATCATCCAGAATGGCCACAGCAGTGAGAGAAGCAGAGAGAAAGTCCGCATTACAGGGGATTCAAACACCATCTGGGGGTTTTAGTACAGAAAGTCGAGTGAAGCACTTTGGAATGTGTTCTGTTCCTCATTTCTCTGGTAAAAGTACCAACCATTGAAATGGAGTTTCTTTGGAACTGGTGGTGTTCGCCAGACTCCCCAGTGAAATCTGAGTTCTACTCTTCCTCCTGTCTATTTGTTTCACACGTAGTCCACTCTCCAGACGTATTCTTTATAGCCTGGTAGCCGGAACAGAAACATTTCTAACTGAACACAAAGGATCTCATGCAAGTCCCCAAATACAAAAACAGACAGCATGGAAAAGAAGGGGATAGATATCAGAAAGAACATTAAAAAAAGAAGAAGAAAGCGAAGGAAGAAACACAATGCAGAAACTTTCTAGACATTTGCTAAGTATCTTTCTACATACCGAAACCACATTAATCTCCGTAACACGTTGCTTATACCATGCCATTACCTTATGCAGAGAAAGCTAGTGGCTTAAGCACTTTACTCTGGGATAGTGTAATGGACTGAACTGTGTCCTCCCCAAAACTCATAGGGTGAAGCCCTAACCCCCTGATACGCTTGTATTTGGAGAAAGGTCCTTTAAGGAGGCAATTAAGATTAAATGAGGTCATAAGGGTTGGGCACTAATATGACAGGACTGTGGCCTTATTAGAAGAGGATGAGGCACTGGAGACCTCTCCCTCCACATATGCTCAGAGGAAAGGCTATGTGAGGACACACAGTGGCGAGGTGTGGCCATCCACAGGCCGGAGAGTCCTTTTCAGAAACCAACCCTGCTGGCACCTTATCTTGGACTTTTCCTGCCTCTAGGACTGTGAGAAGTAAATTTCTGTTGTTTAAGCCACCCAGCCTGTGATATTTTGTTATGGCAGCCCAAGGAGACTAATATAGATAGCATGCGGTGTCCACCATATGCTTCTAAACTATCTCTGTAGTAGTATGTGTCTCTCCCTATTTCTGAGTCCAAGCACTATCTATGTGATATGATTTATGAATCCTAACAACCATACCTTTGTGTTCAGTGCCCCTCATCCTTATTAATGCTTTTTCTGAAACATTAGGATACTGAGTCTGACCCATTTCTCAAGTTTCGTCAGAGATCCTGATTGATTCTTCTGGGGAGCCTTTCTCCTTCACCCCAGGTGGGCGGTGTTCCCCTCCTCTGAACTCCTACTGAACTTCCTGCCTGCACTACTAATTTGACCTTTATCACATGCTGTTAGTACTTCTCTGAGAGCAATGTCAGATCCCTTAGCTAACACATTTTTCTTACAATCTGTATTCATCATTACAAAATATGGAACACAGAGAAAAATACACAAGAAAGAAATACCACCTTTATTAGCTCACCAACAGTCAGACCATCTGGTAGACACTTTCAAAAACTAAAATACTTTGTCTTCTGTTCTAAGTGTATGCATGTGTATATACAGAATCCAACTCCACATGCTTTATGTTATGCTTCTTTGACTTAGTCTGGAACATCAACAATAGTCATTATTCTTTCCAAAGTTGATTTTAATTGAGTCATAATATTCTATCCTATGTACTATAATTCACTTAACCAACTCCCCATTGATGACTGTTTAAATTATTTCTAATGTATCTGTGTTATAAATACCCTGTGATAAATATTCTTACCAAACAGTCTTTGCATAAATTCATTAAAATTCCCTGGGATAAAGTTCTAGAACTCTTCTGAGGTGCACATCCTACCCTATGTGCCCTTATGAGCTTCCATGAACTCCTCCGGGTCAGTCTACCGCCCTGTCTTGCCTTCCCTCCAGCCAACATCTCATTTTTATACGACTTCCTCTTGGCCCAGAAAAATTATATGAAAACATTTCACAAAATTAAAAAAAGCCAATTATTTGAAATATCACCACAAGATAAGACTTTTAAAAAGTCTATCAAAATCCGTTTATTAGTTGCCTAAAGTTTTTATGTAAAGACTAAGGCAAAATGTCAATTTTTAGGACTATATTTTTATTTATTTATTTACTTATGAGAGAGAGAGAGAGAGAGAGAGAGAGGGTGCAAGTCGGGAGAGGAGGAGAGGGAGAGGGACAAACAGACAGGAGGCTCCATCTCACAACCCTGAGATCACGACCTGAGCCAAAATCAAGAGTCAGAGGCTTAACCAACTGAACCACGCAGGCACTCCGACTACATCCTTGATATTACAAAAATAAATGAACTGCTACTCATCATTTCCTTAGTCAATGTTTTAACTTTGGAAAGTGGAAAGTTTGCCGCAGTTCCAGGACTCTGGGTAGTAAGAATATGATTAGGTTTTTCTCTAAGAATACTGTTGTTTTCTCTACAGAAAACATCCTAGTGAATAATTCCTGATGGGGAAACAAATTACTCTTTTGTGAATCGGGTTTTAAACACAACAGGAAAACTATTTCTTCTTTTAAAGTTTAGATTTTCCTCTTGGCTACAGTGGATTTAATTATCATTGGTTCCTCCTGGCCAACTGTCATATTCTGATTCACACACTTGTCGGACAGCATTGAGCTCGTTTAATCATTATATACACATAAGCTCATTTAATCATTATATCCACCCTGTGAGGAAAGTAATATCCCCATTTTACAGATGAGAAAATGAGGTTTAGAGAGGTAAAATAATTTGCCTAACCTTACAATCTAGAAGTGCCAGAGCTGGGATTTGAATCCAGGCGTTATGAAGCAATCGCCTTTCACTCTAGACTTACCTCTGAAATAGTTTTGCCCCAGGCATAAGTGCCATCTTCAGGTCGGCCTCCATTTAGATGAATCCATACTCGTTTTGCATCTGGCTGCTGATATAGGCTGCAGTACCTGAGTGGGGGATGTGCAGTTTCAACTGGAGAATTCCTCTGGACTTGCAGTTCTTGAACCGCAGAAAGGTGCGCCTGGTAAGAAAAGCCCAGAGAATACCGGGGTTAGAGAACTGCCTGGCTAGTGTGCGTATGGAGAATGTGATGAAAACAGAAATACTTATAATTGCAAATTATATTTTAAAAATCGTAGGCAGTGTATTACCCTCTCCTGTCACTGACTCTTCGGTACATTCCCCTGGCTTCCATGAGTCACCAAAGGCAATAATAACCATTAGAGTAATAATAATAAGGTACTTATTTTGGCAAAACACTTAACTTTCATTTATAATTTGGTGAAATGAATGGAGATGTGTTTTTGGACTTCTGTGTGGTGTTTCTCCTACTGAGCAATTTCTCTGCATCTAACAAATGAGTTTTTGATTAGAATAACAACATCATTTTCTTTAACCAAGAGATGCTTAAGGGAATGTGCACGACTGTTGTTTGAGTCTTCACTCTCTGTCTTTTAAAATATAGCAGCCACCCTTATACTTTGCCAGATCCCTGCCAGGCAGCTTTTTATCCTACTTCAAGCATGTTCAGTTCAATGCTTTGCATTCATTCCCTGGTCAGTGATTTATCCTTCTCAGCTTGGCAAGAAGTCATACTTCTAGCAATGTCAATTTCTTTTTTCTAGTAACCTTGACTTGGGCACACGCCTAAGATTTAGATTGAACACATTTCACGATTTGAGAAACCCTATTAAATAAGAACATATCATTTTGATGAAAAACTTCACAAAGCAGAAAGTTTTCCCAGGTCTCTACCCCCAATCCTCTCTCAACAGCTGACCTTTCTCTTCTCGACTTTTTTATGTCTGGCAATCCTGACTGATTAACCAATTGGACTGAAACTGCTTTTTGAATTCCTCACTCCTGAATGTCTCCATTGCAATTAGTATTTTGCTCCTTGCTCTTTCTACATATTGAGACATACCCTTAGGAGTGATGAGCAATGAAGCCATAAGCCTCAACTTGACTATACTTATTATAATTACCTTTGTACATATCCACTGGGCCTTTTTCTCTTCTTTGCTAAGATCATAATTTCTGGTCTCCATTCAAACAAAACAGACTTTCATACGAGCTGGCTGTCTTTTAGATAACTACTCTCCAAATGCCAACTCAATGCTTGGCATATGCTTATGTGGTCATAACTGACCAGATGCTGGGGATATATTAATAGCATAATTTTAAAATTCAATACTATACTTTTAAAACCTTATTAAAGAGGCAGTCTTTAATGTCTGGAGTCCTGAAGAACATACCTCTGTATGTCTTATGAGTTCCATGAGTTTAATTTCCTCTTGAGTCTGCTCAGTCCAGCCTCCCTCCACCACCACCGGCTGCACGGGGCTTTTGTTGGGAACCATGGTGGCTGGCTGACATGCTGTTACTCGCCGCCCTGGGGAAAGAAGTCCCTGGTAATGTTGCTTCTGAAGATGGGCTTTCGGATTTCAAATAAATTGGTTTGGCGTTCTATGCATAAATCATTCCACTTGGGAGCATAGGCTAAAATACTATATATATCATAAAAGCAAAGATGCCTAAGGTAATAATATCTAACAATGCCTCTTCATATGGGAGCTTGAGGCTTCAAATAGCCAGGATATGCATATTCACTGTACAGATGGAAAAGAAAGATAACATGCTGAATTCCACACTGGCCCCGGCCTCTCCTGCATGATATGGTTCAGTGGTAATTTAGTCAAATAGAATCCATGACCTATATAGCCCATCATCTCTTCCAGTCATGGAACATATGTTTTGTTCTCTTCACTAATAATAAGCCTTTCCCCAACAATTAGCTTAGCAGCCTGGGGATTAAGTAATTCTAAAATAATATTAACCCAAGAGACAGGAGGCCTTTTTTTCTATCTAATAATACCCGCAAGCATGATTAGTTTCTGACACCTCTGCTGTGCCCTTTAGGTTGTTAAAAAGATGTGGTAAGAGAAAATATTTATTGGAATACTGTACTCCAAAGAATAATAGGCATAATTTAATAAGTGTGTTGATTTGAATGTATGCATTCTTTCAACTAGTCTACTTAAAATCATTATAAGAGAGATTCAAAAATCACACTTATGAAATTGTTTTCTTTTTCCATGTTGAAGATAAACTCACACTGAGTCTCATACTGATCTCTAAACTTAAGTAAAAATAATGCTTTCTTTTGCATGTTCCTTCTAGAAACTTATGGTGAGCACCAGCTATCAGTCAGGTGTTGTGCTAGATAAGGCTAATACAAACATTTTCAAGATTTAGTCCTCGTCTCAAGTTTGGTGGGGAAGGCAGATGTCAAGGAAATGATTGATTGCAATTGTGCTGCACCAGAGAAGTACAGGATCTATATAAAAGTATCTAACAGGGGCCACCGCCCTAGTGTGAAGTGCCGGAGAAGACTTCTTTGCGAAAGTAATGCTGAGGTGGATAAAATAATAGAAATACTAACACGAGGGGCGCCTGGGTGCCCAGTTGGTTAAGCATCTGCCTTTGGCTCAGGTTGTGATCCCCGGGTCCTGGGATCGAGCCCCACATTGGGCTCCCTGCTCAGTGGGGAGTCTGCTTCTCCCATTCCCTCTGCCTCTCTCCCCAGCTTGTACTCTCTCTCTCAAATAAATAGATGAAATCTTTAAAAAAAAAATGTTAACATGAAGTTGAGTCCTAATTTTTTTGCCAAGGGAGTCTTAGTATACAGATTTTCAGAACCATGACTACAAACAAAACTCTTTGAAAACAATTTAGTATTTGCAGAGAATAAAGCATTTGCACTCTTGTAAGCTCAAGTTTGTGGAAACAGATCCAGCAATAAAAATAAATGGCAGCAACAACTTTTCAGGGGAACCAGAATTCTACATACCTAATAAGCATTCTATGCAATTTATGGATGTGGAGAAAACATAACTGAATCAGTCAGCCAATGAATTACAGTGGCAATGCCATTAGGTTATGTGCTTTGGGGAAGACCACAGTGGTACGAGAAAAATGCATAACACAATTTACCCAAATACAGTTTTTAGCCTACTCTATTCATAAAGCACAGAAAACATTAATTTATGACACATAAATATTTTATTTATAGGGCCTTTTGAACACTAAAACTTTGCTCAACTAAAGAGAGCTTAGCAATAGTTTATCCTTAAGAGGCAAGATTTGAATGTAGGAAAAGAGCAAATGCCATTATGCATTATTTGTTTTTTGTCAACTTGCTTCTAATGGTCTTAAAAAAAATGAATGCATTTGCACTATAATTTTCATAAAGAGACATAAATTCATCACAAAAGGTTTTGGTTCAGGGAAAAATGTTCATAACAAACTACTATTTATGTAGGTAAGAATACAAATTGAAACCAAGCACAAATGTATTGATTAAATTATTTTTTATTTTCTTATTACATTCTCCATATATCCTATTTTATTTCATATGAGATCTGGGGAAAGTGATGATAATAGCTAACAATTAATGGTGAAAACCAGAGAACGTGAGTGCTTTGCTGTCTTTCAAACTATAAATCTCACCCCCACACCCCTCCCTTGACCAGAGGCCCACTCTGTTTCAGCATTATCTATGCCTGGGAGGGTAAGTCCACCTCATTTGAGGTTTTAGTTGGCAAATCCATTTAGCTCTCACACTAAATAAAATGCTCCAGCATTGTCTTTATATGTAACAATGATGATATTTTGGCCTAATCTGCCGTTTCTTCATTTCATTGATCAGTTTTTAAGACCCCAAGTCAGAAAATGGGCTGCCTTCTTAGGAACCCTTATTCCAATATTTATTGAGTGTTTATTATGTACTTGCATGCAGTAAATACTTGACATTTGTTACTTCCTCATAAAAATCCTACAAAGTTATTACTAGTATTGTGATTAATATCAGCAATGACCATACTTACAAATGTAATGTAAAATCAGCTTGGCACAGTACTTTATATATGCTTAATAAACATTTGTTGCATTCACCAATGGCTATAATAATGGAAAGTAATCTACTTAGCCACTATTTATACCTCCCATACCTCCTCTTTCATCCAATCCTCAAGAAGCTCATCATCCAACAGGGATTGCAGTTAACTGAATTTTGACTTGTTCTTATTTATCTTCATAATCCCAACAACTAGAAAAGTTCTTCCTCAGAGTAGGTATTTTATATGTATGTATTGAATTTACATTTAATAGCAGAAAATGCAACAGTTTGTCAGTGGAGACAAGATTTATCTCAGCACTAAATTCTAAGAGAAATTTCATTAATGGATTCCTTCATAATGGATATCATCTGACCTCTACCAACAGTGATATTGCGGATGATACCAACTGAACTTTAAATGCTTTTTTTAAATAAATGCCTTTTTAATACTTAATTATAATAAAAGCTGAAGACATGATATAAAATCAGAATATGGTAAAGGCAGCTCTGCTTGGTGCTATTTTCAGTATGTTGCTTTTTATTGATTTAATTTGATACAGGAAGAGACCATAGAAAACTCAGTGGAAAGAATGGTTGAAATTCCATTCATTCTTTAATTCATTCTACAAGTATTCACAGTTAAAATAAGAAGGCAGTAGAATTTATAATGTGACATAGGGAAGACAGTCACATGACCAGGTAATTATATTAATGTAATAATGATTATCATAGGGGAAGCTCAAGATGTGATAAACCACATTATTCCTAACATGGAAAAGGGAAGGCTTTTAGGAAGAAATAACAAGTAAGCTGAAAACTGTTTAATCAGTAGAATCAATCCAAAGGGACTCGGGAGAGAAAAGTTTGAGGCAGAGGAAACTAAATTGTGCCAAAAGCTCAGAGGTAAGAAAGTGCCTAATATGTCTCGGGGACTGAAAAACAGTCTGACTGGTGGAGTGGAGAGGACAAGAAAAGAGAGCAGCTTACACAGAACCAGGCCGTGGAAGACCACATTGAGGAGTTTCATCTTTGTCCTAAAGATAATAGGGAGCTTTGAAAGGTTTTATGCCTGGAGTACCATAACATCTTTTGTATTTTTTTTAAGATTTTATTTATTTATTTAAGAGAGAGAATGAGAGAGAGAAAGAGCACATGAGAGGGGGGAGGGTCGGAGGGAGAAGCAGACTCCCCGCCGAGCAGGGAGCCCGATGTGGGACTCGATCCTGGGACTCCAGGATCATGACCTGAGCCGAAGGCAGTCGCCTAACCAACTGAGCCACCCAGGCGCCCACATCTTTTGTATTTTTGCCTGATCACTCCACTTTCAAAATGTCACCATTATGCATAGAATAGAAACTACTGTCAAGACTGGAAGCAGGGAGTCAAGTCACAAAGCTCTTCTAGTAATCCAAAGAATAGATAACAATGGCTGGAATTTAGATAATACAGTTGGGGATGGAGACCGAATTCATTTGAGAAGATAGATTGGAAGCAACAAGACATACTGATATTTGCCTAGGGAAAGTGAGAGAGGGGGAGATGCCAAGGATAACTCCCAGGTTTCTAAGATGGAACATCTGGGGGGATGGTGGGTCCACTGCCAGAAGAAGTGAAGGAGATACTGGAGTGGTGATATGAAAACTTTAGTTTTGGACACGCCCATGGGACATTCTAGTGAAAATGTGTAGTAGTTGGAATAGTAGACACTACCAGTCATGAGATAGATGCTTTTCATGTACACCCAATAATTCTTTTGGAAAGAACTGAATAATAGTCATTTCAGCCCAGAGTTCTGTCTAGTACACTTACAACTAGTTCTGTTGCTTATTGAAGTAAAATTCACGTGCTTCAGACAACAGACAGTGTGCATACTTAGGAGTTGAAATCCTATCATGGCAATTACAGTGCCTGAAATGTATTCCTTTCTATACTAAAGTCCATAATACTCTGTTTCTCCCCAAAGAATCATCTGGTATCTAAAGTGCTAGGAATAGTATAAGGTCTGGAACCTAAGATTCTGTGACAAAGAGAATGAAAGAGGAGAACAAATATTGCCAATTGATCACTTTGACAATGAATAGCATATCTTACGCTAATATGAAGAAGCCCTTCTGAGATATTAATACTGACCTTTGAAAAATTCAGTACTTCCTAACTCAGATTATAAAATAAACAAACAGGGGCACCTGAGTGGCTCAGTCAGTTAAGCTTCTGCCTTCAGCTCAGGTCATGATCCCAGGGTCCTGAGATGGAGCATCAGGTTCCCTGCTGAGTAAGGTGTCTGTTTCTCCCTCTCCCTTTGCCCCTGCCCAGCTCGTGCTCACTTTCTCTCTCTCTCTCTCAAATAAACATTTGCGCATGCGCTCTCTCTCAAATAAATAAATCTAAAACAAAACAAAACAAAACAAAACAAAAACAACCCCCAAACTTCTTCCCCAGCATACCCAAGGAATAGACCAAAAGTTTTGTGTAAGGACTAATTCCAAAGCCCACAAAATGTTAGTTCAGCAACTGTTTCAATTCCAGCATAAGGGTTATATGACCCAGACACTCTCCTAATTTTAAAAATTTACATAGAATTCATGTGGTATTCATTTTAAAAGTTGCAAATATAAAATCAGTACTGAAAGATATATTATTAGGTTTTAGACTTGCTCAAGTGACTTTTGTGACACAATATTTATAGTACTCAGTTGAACATCTGGTATCTAATAGTAAGAAAAAACTTCCAGCAAATTGGGGTTACATTTAGAATTAAACATGGTGATATTTGATTTAGTTCACACTGACCTTTTAACAGTCTCATTTTGTGTTTCATGGTGTCTAGATCAGCCAAAATTTTGTTCTTTTTTAGCCAGTTCTGTTTTTCTAAATTTTGGGCTTTCTGCAAAGCTGGAAAAAATATATGATATTTTATCTTGCATTGTGTTATCAACAGTAATTTATCATGCAAGCCAATAATTTATAAAGAACTTTCTGCTCCAAGAAATAGATTCAATTAGAAATAAGTAATTAAAAGGTAAGGGTCATTAAAAGAAACCTCATTTGAAAGACGACAGGGCTTAAGGCATTTCTTTATGGAATGGAGACGGGGGCGGGAAGAAGAACAGTGCTGTTTTATTATATAGATTTACCATATGCAATAGCCATATTTCATTTTCCACTTCCACAAACTATTTGGAGGTGATGAAAGCCTGGCTTGGAACCATTCATTTTTTAAACATCCACCTACTGCCTAAAGGGTGCAATTCTTAAAAATGAAAATGTGCAGACAGGTCGTCTTCAGTGTGAATTAAACTCATTTGTTATTTTCTAATGTATACCATTATTCTCAGTCTTATAGACCAAGGATCTCTTTATCAACTAAATTAGACATTTTTCCATGCAGAATACTCCATTCCAGTAAAAAAAAAAAAAAACCAGGCAACTGTGCAAATATGGGAGTATAGCTATCCTTGCGCACATATTAATTGATGGACCTCCTGTTCTTTGCACAAATGTGATGTTATTATGCTGGCATTATACACATTTTATTCTTTTCTTACGGTGACATAAAATTTATTTCTCTCTCCTTTATACACTTGTTTGAAAGCAAGCAAAAACAAAAAACTTACCCTTCGGAGATAGAAATGGTTCACCGCAAGATACCCAGATGGCAATGGGATTTCTGAGGACGAGAGTGATCAAAGACTTATCTCTACCATCCAAACTACTGGATGTCACAGACTTCGGACACAATTTGGTTTTCACTTTCATTCTTGAGTTTTCTAGGAAACAAATGGCACATTAATCAATACACAATTAATAATGAATAAATTTGCCTCCTGAATTTGTTTATTCAAAATATTTCATTTCTCATTAATGACTTGATTTAAACAGGTAATACCTAAACCAGATGCAAATACATAAATATGATCAGAAACTTCATATGTGACCAAATAATTTAAGCTAATCTGATTGTAAATATACTTTTAAATTCCTTTCTTATGCTTTACTAGTTATGAAAGAAATCTAAGATGACTTTACTAAAATATCTACTCTGAAGAGGAATAAAATAAAGAGATAAGAAAGCCAAAGAAAGGAGGAAAGAAGTATAGCAGTAGGGCTAAAGCCAGAGATAAAATGCTTCAGTGTCCTTATCTTTTAAATGAATAATAGATTCTAGATATCTCATTCTGCTGTTGGGAAGATTAAAAGAAAAAAAAAAAGAAAGTGCTTAGAATAAATGGTGTTTGGTCTATTTAATTGGATGAACATCCAAAAAGTGCTAGATAACATTTTTGTTACTGAACGGACATGAAAGCCACACGTTTCATTTGCTAGAGTTAAAGCACAGTTTGGGTTCTAAGCATTCTAGTGGCCCAAGTAAAGAAGAAAACACAATTTCAAGATTCACATGGCCCATACAGAGAGATAAATTCCTCAGAAGATACAACTTTCGTGGCCCTGAGATCTGAGAGAAATTTATTTCAGGGTCTTCGTAAGGGAGTTATTTGTGAGGTAGCAAACAGTATCCTATAATAGAAATGAAGAATATTGAGAACTTAACAACATGCTGGGCATTTCACTAAGACCTCTGCATACATAATTTCAGGTAAGTCTCAAAATGATACTCTGAGTAGGGTCCATTCCTCTTTTACAAAGTAACTGAGGTTTAATCACATAGCTAGGTAGCAGCAGAGTCAGGATTAGAACGCAGGCCATATGCCTCCAGAGCCTGTGCCCTTAACCACCATCTCCATAGCAAACATGATACTCAGTTTCTGACTGATGTCTGGTTTTTTTAAAGTTCCTTAATGCAAACTGATGGCATAACGTAAGCCCCAACTCAGTAAAAGGGGGCAACCCACTAATGGATCAGCCTGATTCAAGGATAACCTCTAGAACATAGAGAGGAGGGGATGGCCATTCCCTTTTAGTACTCCAGCATGAATAACATTACTTCCAGTCGAGGTTTAAATAACAGTTTGAAAGAAGAGCCTTTGAGATTGTAATCTTCTAGAACCTGGAGATCAGATATGCTATATGCCAAGTAAAGGCCAAACTATATGCTTTAATGATTAGCTAGGCATTAAATATTGACATAATTATTTTTAAAAACTCATTAGAAAACAGGACAAGTAATATCATTGTGAAATAATAGAAAATATATATATTGGTCTCTGCCCTAAGTTCCTGGCAGAAAGTTTCTAAAATTCTGATCATTTTCTAAGTGATAAGAGCACTAAGAGCATCTTTTGTTCTAATATTTTGTCTTTGATCCTGGTTCCCGGCACAGATCCTAAATCCTTTGGAATTTCCTGGATGGTAGCAGTAGCTTGTTTTCTAACAAGAGCACTTTTGGCAGACTCTTGGATGAAGGCTGTTCACCAGGAAGACCAAGCCATGATTAGAACCTTGGAATTTTCCATCCTACACTTCATTCTCCAGAGAAGGGAGAGAGGGTGGAAATGGAATTAGTAAACAATCATGCCTACATGATGAAATCCCATAAAAATCCCAAAAGTACAGGGTTTGGAGACCCTCTGGGTTGGTGAATGCATGGAGATGGTAGGAGAGTGGTGGGCTTGGAGAGAGCAGAGAAGTTATGTGCTCCTTCTCACACACCTTGCCCTACTCATCTCTTCTACCTGGATGTTCATCAGTATTCTTTATCATATCCTTTTATAATAAACCAGTAGACAGTAAGTAGACTGTTTCCTTGAGTTCTGTGAGCTGCTCTACCAAATTAATCAAACTGAAAGAAGGAATCATGGGAATTTCAATTTAAGCCAATTGGTCAGAAACACAGGTCTGGACATCTGAAGTGGGGGATGGATCGGGGAGCAGTCTTGTGGGACTGAGCTCTTAACCTGTGGGATCTGAAGCTATAACCAGGTAGACAGTGGCAGAATTGAGTTAAATTGCAGGACACCCAGCTGGTGTCACAGAATTGCTTGGTGTGGGGAAAAAAAACACACATCAGGTGTCAGAAGTCTTGTGAATGTGATAAAAGTGTGAGAGTAAAGGAGAGATACACAGGAAGAAGCGTGGGTTTTTCCTACTCAGCTGTACACACAATAATGATAGCTAATATTCATTGAATGTTTAGTAAACATCAACCGGGCACTACTTTAAGTGACATATACATTTATATATAAACTTATTCACATATGTTTTTATGAACACATGTTCATATTTATGAGGACCAAATGCGTATACATTTACATGACTCTCAGTGTGCAATTCACAAAATGAGGAAACTGAGGTCCCAGAGTTTAAACAACTTGCCCAAGATCATTCAGCTAGCAAGGAACAGAGGTAGGATCCGAACCCTGGTATTCTGGCTCCAAAACCCAAGTTCTTAATCTTCAAATCATGACTCTCAGTACAACAGTGGAAATCTGAGATCACTCCGCTGAATCGCTGTGAGTAAGACTCATTCGTATTTCCCAAACTGTTGCTGGGGAGGGAGTTCCTGCCCTCAACTTGTACATAGTTTGATGAGACACACAAAGATGTAAACAGGTAATTATAATACAGTGTGCTGGGAGCTGCAATACAGGTGTCTTCACTGATGCTTCTGGGAGTTTAGAGGGGCAGTGGTGACGGGCAGGGGCCAGAGGTATAGAGGACATCTTCTCTTCAAATAATAGAAAGAGATTTGCATTGATCCAGCCCCACCTTCTTAGGTGGTCTCCAGTTGGTTTTGGTTTTAAATTTAAAAACAAAAGCTGCTCATGTTATATAAAGTAGCTAAGTTGTCAAACATATTTTATAAACTTGAGGCAATTTATTTATTGTTTTGTTGCTGAGACCAAATTTACATTATCTGTTAACTTTTTCTTATCATTCTGCAAGGTAAAAGCAATACAAGAATCTCACATGAGAGAAGCTTCCTGTGATTTTATAGTTCTAGAAAGGGGTGATTGAGTCACAGAATCACATTTAACTTTTTTATGATGAAAAATAAGAATCAGCTAAATCCTGTAGAATGTAACCAATCTTTCATACTTTTAATAGTTGTCTCCTTTGTTCGAACAGGGACTGCCTCTTTCTTTTGTTCCTCAGTGTTTCTCTGGATGAAAGATTCCTTTAGCGCCCATAAAACCAAATCACGTAAGGAAAGGATTGCTGTTCCATCTTTGGTATATACTTTGGAGGCTGCTCTGGTGAGACCAAGTTGCTCCGTGCATTCTGTAAGAAGCTAAATAACACAGATTGTAAGGAACTGATGAGACAAAAGAGTGATAGGGCTGGGAATAATTGTGAAGAGCTTGTTATTTTAGAAATTTGAGAAAATCCATTAATTTGCAAAAATAGAAAGCTAAATAACTACCGACTTGATCTTTAATTAGAGACAATTTTTGGTATCAGACTGTCCTACATAAATCTCACAAAATTAGTCCACTCAACCTGTGAAAATTAGCTCCAAAAATTTAACACAGCAGCTGATGTATGTTAATACATTTTATCACCAGAGTGTTTACTTCCTAAGAAGTGTTCAATTTAGAGATTCACTTTCAACTTTGTTGCTTTATAAGGTATAAAATTGTAACACTTTGTATTGATGAACTGCTTTAAAATAAATGAGTAGTTGACTTTCAAACCTGAACTAACATATATTATTATTTTCATTTTGCAGAAAGGAAAACAGGTTGAAAGGTTAACATTTTTGTCCGAGACTACAGAAGCCAGTTATGGAGCTCAGGGTGAATCTTGGAGTTGCTAACTTTTGTGATTTGCTTAGTTCCCTAAACAATATCTTAATAAAAAGGCTATTTATATTCAACCAAAAAGGTGAGCAAACGAGTAGGTGTGTATGTGTGTGTTTGCAAGGACCTCCCCAGGGTAAGTCCATATCATATTTAATGTTGCTTATAAAATATGCCGTTAAAGGCATTGGCCAGAATGTATAGACCAGAGAGTCACCAAGAAAAGGAAGGACAAAGCTGGGTTTGAACCTCTTGAGCTCTATCACAGAAACCACGTTTCTTCCTAACACAACTCTTGCTTCTCCGATTTGAAAATGAAATGAAACAACCCGTCAACAAATAAGTGCTCAGATTTTCCAAATGATAAATGAGGTAGCATCTCTTAGAATATTCAGATGACATACAACTTGAAGCTGGAAAGGGAAAGAAGGTAAAAAAAGGGGGGAGGCATTCTTTCTATCATACAAGTGAAGAAAATCTGGTAGCTTGGTTTCCCCCTGCTTTTATGTATCTTTGCTCTGGAGCCAATCTAAAAACCTGGTTTCTGGTTTCTCATTTTTCTAAGTCTGTATCCAAAGAAATACAATAAAAAAGAATATCTTTAAGAAAACAGAGATCTTGATCTCATCAGCTTAAATGGGTGAAACTGGCCAGGGACATTTATCACTCAATCCCATTGCTTTTTTCTTGTCAGAAGAATCATTATTATCATTACCTCGGAGGATGCAAGAAACATTTAAGTGATAGCTACTTACTGTGGGGAATGTTCTGGCCACAATTAACTTCCCATTTCGATATCCATCTCCATTTTTGTATGCAATTATTTTCACTGCCTTCTGGTGCATAGTTGATGTACCACTATGTGATACAACTTGCGTGCAGGTCTTCATCCGTAAAGACAATAGACGTTCTTCATAATAACTTAGTGTTTTCTCAGCCTCATAAGAAGATAAATCAGCCTGATTAAAAAACAAAAAACAAAAAACAAAAAACACAGAGGTCTATTCAAGCTTTTTACTTTAGTTTTTGTTATTTTGGTATATTTCAGTCTCTTAATTTAATAAATATTTGTATGTACCTGTGTGGTATCTAAATTTTGAAATGCTCACTCCGCATGCTATAGTATAGGTATTGGATACCACAGTGGGAAGAACATTGGGTCAGAGCTCAATTCTCTTCCCAGCCCTGTCACTGAGTCTCTAGGTGACTTTAGGTCTCTGGCTTGTGTGTCTGGCCTTCTCCTATTTTCTACTTTGCCTTCTCTGTGACAGGAGTTGGGGGAGGATGCCAGGGCCAGAGAAAGCCTGGCGTTGAAGTAATGAGATGCTGGCACTACAGATAATCTCTTCCTCTTTAACTTGAGGATGACGCCATCCTGTGGTGGCAGATATGATGAATGGGGAGGGGAATGAGTGAAGTCCTAATCTACATGGTAAGGAGGGTTGTAAACACTGCACTTCACCTTTCCTTTTCCATCCCTACTCAGGATGCTGCTTTGAAGGAAAAACCCTGAGATGCTTTAACACTGGGGATTCTTTCCACTCATCTCACCAGCGCCTCCTTAACCCCACCATCACTAAAGCAAAGCCAAATGCCTTCAGACTTCCCCGGAGGACTGACTTCTTTTCACCGTCAGAGTTACTATTGCACTTCATGTTTACTGCAACTGTTCCTACCCCCTCCAGACCCCTCCCACCCTGCACTGTGTATCCAGTTTAGGAGAACAAGGAGAAAAGGTCTGGAAATGGAGAGAATGAGCCCTGGAGAGCACACCAAGTTGGAAGGTTCCTCTTAGGAGTTTTTCCTTTTTATTTTTTTATATTTTTTATTTTATTTTATTTTATTATGTTATGTTAATCACCATACATCATTAGTTTTTGATGTAGTGTTCCATGATTCATTGTTTGCATATAAAACCCAGTGCTCCATGCAGTACGTGCCCTCTTTAATACCCATCACCAGGCTAACCCATCCCCCCACCACCCTCCCCTCTAGAACGCTCAGTTTGTTTCTCAGAGTCCATAGTCTCTCATGGTTCATCTCCCCCATCTATTTCCCCCCCTTCATTTCTCCCTTCCTACTATCTTCTTTTTTTTTAACATATAATGTATTCTTTGTTTCAGAGGTACAGGTCTGTGATTCAACAGTCTTACACAATTCACAGCACTCACGATAGCACATACCCTCCCCAATGTCTATCACCCAGCCACCCCATCCCTCCCACCCCACCACCATTCCAGCAACCCTCAATTTGTTTCCTGAGATTAAGAATTCCTCATATCAGTGAGGTCATATGATACGTCTTTCTCTGATTGACTTATTTCGCTCAGCATAACACCCTCCAGTTCCATCCACGTCGTTGCAAATGGCAAGATTTCATTCCTTTTGATGGCTGCATAATATTCCATCGTGTATATATATCACATCTTCTTTATCCATTCATCTGTCGATGGACA